CGCAACAAACGTTCGCGGAATGCAAACAAACGCAGTTTTCATAAGATGTCCTGCGATTGTTAGAAGACAAGCTGATGTCAAGGGGCCCGTTCAAGCTTTGCTTCATTGGAACAGCCACGTCTGCAAAGGCGTAGAATCCTTCACGACACTACAGAAAAAACTCACCCACTCTAAGACTCTGCAAAGCTTGTCAAACAGCTCTAAACATGTCGATGACGACGCAGGGAAACTGCAATGTGCATGCATGTGCAAATTATACGTACATATATAAATATATAAATATATAAATATATAAATATATAAATATATAAATATATAAAATATAAATATATGAATTATATAAATATAAGATAAAGAATATAAATATATAAATATATAAATATAATATATATAAATATATATAAATAATATAAATATATATAATATATATATAAATATATATAAATATATAAATATATAATATATGAATATATGAATATAAATAGATGAATATATAAATATAAAATAGATAAAATATAAATATATAAAATATAGATATATGATATAATTATAAATATATAGATAAATATAACAGATATATAAATATATAGATATATAGATATATAAATATATAAATATAAATGATAAATATATAAATATATGAATATATAATATCTAAATATATAGATATAAATTATAAATATAATATAAAATATAATAAATATATAGATAAAATAATATAAAATATCTAAATATATAAATCATAGATCTATGAATATATAAATATATAAATATATAAATATATTAAATATATAGATTATATTGAATATATAAATATATAAATATATAAATATATAAATATATAGATATATAAATATATAGATATATAGATATATAAATATATAAATATATAAATATATAAATATATAAATATATAAATATATAAATATAAATAAATATAAATAAATATAAATATATATAAATATATATAAATATATAAATATATAAAAATATATATAAATATATATATATATAAATATATAAATATATACATGTATAAATATATAAATATATAAATATATAAATATATAAATATATAAATATATAAATGTATAAATATATAAATGTATAAATATATAAATATATAAATATACAAATATACAAATATATAAATACATAAATACATATATATATATATATGTGTGTGTGTATGTATGTACTTATGTGTGTGCACATTCTGGCTAATTGGGGTACGTGCTCCTCTGCACATACATACATACATGCATGCATACATACATACAAAGGTACGTACTGACGTACCATACAAACACACATACATCCATGCATGCATGCATGCATGACTGCATGGATGTCTGTGTGTGTGTGTCTGTGTGTGTGTGTGTGCGTGAGGGTGCGTGCGTGCGTGTGCCCGTGCATGTGAATCTGCAGGTGCACATGCAAGCTTGTGTGTGCGTATATACATACACACGCATATATACATATGACGATCTACACATACATGAATACACACATACATGCATGCATACATACATATACATCTGTACATATACACCTACACGTATGTATGTGTGTATGTGTATATGTGTACAGATGTACGTACGTATGTATTGTACTCAGGCATGCACCTATGTACGGATGGACATATGTATGCAATTGCGCAAGTATGTGTTCTACCGAATGTTGTGTATGTATGTATGTATGCATGTACGGATGTATGTACGTATGTATGTAAATATTGAGCTCGTTCCTTGGTCCTCGTTGATCTTCGTTCAATTTCTGTCACAGCTACGACCTGGCCTGTTGGATCGCTACGCCGGGAATTGAAGTTTTGTGACTTCAAAGGGAGCTACGCCGAATAAAACTCATCAGAACGCTTTGCGTGCGGTGTCGCGCCCGTTGGTCGCGGTACCGTGTACATGCCATCCATACGCTGTCCGGTTACCTAGCAACAACTGGGCCCTCGATCCAAGGCCTTGATGAACTGCCATAATACACCGACCATCCCAAAAGGTAAACGATTATCTGCCACAATCCGGGACGGTCTTGGCCTATGCTGTTCACGGCAGCCCATACCTGCAGTGATGTGCTGCACCAGAGCTACAAAAAGTCCCCTGAACCTACTGGCGACTTGTGCAGCATTTGAGAACACCACTATTTCACGGTTCCGAACAGTAGTGGCAAATACATTTCAGACCCTTTGCCACTGGACTGGAATGCAGGACAGGGCGACATCGAAGCCGCAAGCTGCATATTTGGCCTGGGCACACAGAAAAACAGATACGTCATCACAGACTTCGTGGAGGGCTAGTATCCGCCAACCGACTTCATTCCTGCCTTGTCACCACTGGAAAAGTACTTCGGGGAAGGCCGTGCGGAGCACCTCATGCTACAACATCAACAAAGGACCTCCATGCAACTGTGATCAGCATAGCTGCGCTGCCTGGGTAACTGGTCCAGCACTCGGCTTTTGGTGTCAACAGCATCCACCAGACAATCACATCACATCACTAAAGTGGTAAGGAGCCACTGAGCATCAGCACGGAAGCCAGAACACGGCCAACACCAGGATAGGATGCACCATTGGAGTTCAAGCCAGAGACTAGAGGGCGGTTGTGAGGGAGTGGGGTGCAAACACAAACATGCCGCGCCAGCTGGCCAGAGCATTCTGATTGAATCTACAGGTGTCTCGAAGCTCTGGACCAGATAACCTTTATCGGGGACCCAAACATGATGTCTCATGCAGTTGGAGCCTGTGCGGCGAACGTCAGATTGACAGCAAACACACACACACACTGCAGCAGTGGCACGTTATCCCTGTTCGAACGCACGCAAGTCCTAGCATGATCCTCTGCCCTCGCTGCAGGCGACCATGATTGGAATGCTCAGGGTGCAACACGTTTAGTTTAATTCAATCCCTAGCTGGCCTGTACTGGCTTTGCACCTGTCGGGATTCACGGAAAAAATTCACACCCCAACTTTCAGCCCAACAGGATGCGATGCGAGCAACGTTGGGGATGGAGAGAGGAGATGCGCTTGGTGAGCGTCAAGTGCCTCTTCCAAGCAAATGCTGTCTTTATCCGCCTCGGCACTCGTATGCATACCGCTATTCAACAGGGTCCCTCCCTGAGCCAGGTGCCCATCTCCTACGTCTCTGTTGCCCTCCTGGTGTAGGGCTCTGAGCCTGTGGCTCTTGCTTTCACTCCACTGTTGCTTTCCAGGCATCAAACTGTACATGACGTGCATGTATCTGTCTTTCTTTCACCAGGCTTTTCAGATTTGAGGGCGTGAACGTTTCGCATGGGTGCACGCCCGTATGTTGAAGGTGGCCCCGAAGTTAAAGGCAGTGTTTGCCTAGGACGGCCTCGATTGAGTGTTGCATCACCTTGACGAACCTGACCTTCCACAACATGTTAACTTAAGCGGACACCCCCCCCATCCGATATCTATCAGGAATGAGTGCGGACTGGTGGCGCTCTATAGAAGGCCCGCCTTCACTCATGAACATGAGCATCTAAGTCCTGCATCATGCCCTCAAAAGTGATCATGGTGTTCGCTCTCTCTTCTTCCCTCTCCCTCTATCTACCGACGTCAGGCTTCTTGCCCCTCTCTGACTGTCCATAATTCCCCGTCTCAGACTGCAGATATTGCTGATTTCTGATTCGCCACCTGAAAGTATTGTGGCAGCGTGCATTACCTCCCGGCTGCATAGGCCGCTCTGCGCCAATCGAGCAGGCTTGTGCCCTCTGCCCATAACTGAAGCTTACGATTACCAAACAACTTCTATAGAGACGCTTCACTGCGACGACACATCGACTTCCCCCCTCACCCGCAGAAATCTCAGAGCGTATAGAACGATTCAGACGGGGTGCACGTTTTGAATCCACTTCCTTGTTGGGGGATGTTCTTTCCTTGGCTCTACATAGGAATGACCGCAACGTGGGCGAGTACTCTTCCCCGATCCCTGTCCTGCCCAGCTCAAGCCCGTCTTGCACGAAGAGTGGTGACGCAAGTGGCGTAGATGTCCCCCTTCGCGGATATCAGCGCACCTTCCTTTCCACCGTCCTTCCTTCTCTCCCACTGCGTCGTTCGAAGCCTTCCTTGCTACTTAAGTGATGTTACGAAGTAACGCTGCACAATTTATATCAAGTCCCAAAACTGTGAATTCTCAGCAAATCCTGCAAAATGTCAGGCAAAAGAGACACAAGCCGGACAAAAGAGCGTCGACCCATCAGATCATCATGACCAGCTGCACACTCCTGGCAACGGCGCTGACGAACTCAGCACTCAAACGTGAACTTTTGTCCAAATGTGTGAAACGTGGTGGAAGCCTGAGGCCAGTGTTTGGCCTCAGTGGAACTCAATGGGCGGGACCATCGCCGGGTGAGGAATGCTTTGCTCCTGGAACCTATGGTCGTTCCTGGAACGGCGATTTCTGGCTGCTTAAGTCCGCGCCACTGCCATGTGTTCGGCGGCTGTTCCCCCTGCGCCCTCACATCGGCTCTCTTCCAGGTTTACGTTGCATAAGCCATGGATGCACCCTGTTTAGACTTTAGAGCAAATCCGTGCTCAAGGACAGGAGAGGACGTCGGAGTGGCTGCCGATCGCAACAAGCAGGTGCCGACGGAGGTGACTAAAACAATGGTCTCGTATGTACAGGGTGATTGTGGAGAAAAGACTCGGACCTCAGACCATTTGGAAGGCCAAGCCGCGGCACCCAAAGGCTTCCCAGTCTTTTGACTTAAAACTCCCTACGCACGATGTGGAAGCTGGGCTACACTGCAAGCGTGGGGAGTACTGACACAAAGACCTTGTGATTGTGACAGCCATTCTGATACAAGAACTTCTAGCTGACATTGGTCTGCGCATGTCTGCGTAATATCAAAGATGCACCCATCTAACCTTCTAGCAGGGCCAGCCTGCTCGGATATCCTGGCAAACCTGAGGGGCCTGAATCTCAGTGCTGGTCTGCAGTGACCGGCACCACCGCTGCCGCTGCAGCCTCAAGGCACCATGACCTGAGTTGCGGCATGCCTCAACACCAGCCTGTCTCGAGCTAGATGTGACACCAGCGCAGACTGACGGTAAAGTAACCCTGCACCTGGCAGCAAATACACTGGCAGCTGTACATCTCGCGCTAGTGCTGATTGTCCTCGACATGGTTCTTGGCCTTGGCTTCCTGCTGTTGCTTCAATGAACCGACGTCGATAGACCTGTGGCTGGCACTTCCACAAGTGTCCCATAACACGTCTTACTGGGAGAAAAATGCATGGCCAGACCGAACTCACAAGCGAGACGTGGTGAAACGATGTGATGCAAGCTCTGCATTGATGTCTCAAGAAGTTTGAGGTCGAAGCCGTTGGAAGGCTCGGCACACTCGGCGACCGTCGGAACCTTGACAAGATTCGCACCACCATGACAGCAAAATGAAATGTTCGTAGCGTTAAAATCTATGCATCTTCAACACCATCCACTGACATGCTCTCAAGTGTCATGCTTGCGGAGGCGCGGCAACAATCAGCTTCATTGCTTGAGCTACCTTGATTTGTGTTTTCACGTTTCTCTGTGCCGATTCTTTTGAGGTATCTGTATCTTGTCTCAGCCCCGGGTGTAAATCCTGATATAGTTTCGCTCTTGGGGTTGGGGGTTTGCGCTTAGTTTCAGGTTAACTCTGCTTAGGATTGCCCAAAGGACACAGCCGGAATGAAGAACTAAAGTCACGGGTAGCACAGCAACAGGCACAGCTCACACACGTTCCGAGAGACGCATGGAGGTGGACAGAGATGGATAGGGATAAATAAGTGCATAGGTAAAAGACAGATCGGCAGGCAAGCAGATAAGTAGATAGGTAGATTCCAGGAAGATAGGTAGATAGGTGGATAATTGGTTAGATTCGGATAGATGTATATTCAGGTAGCTTGATGTAGATATTTGATTGATGGATTTGTAGACTGATAAAAACAAATAAAAACGAATGGATGGATGGATGGATGGATGGATGGACCGATGGAGAGATGGAGAGAGCGTTGCAGACATCGGGATAAAGATATAGGTACATGCCTTCCCTCAGGCTAGATCACCGTGCGCTCGTATGCACACATACCATAGTTTGCTTTAACGATGCTGCGGCGCATGGCAGCAGCTTGGCCTACAGTCGAGTGCCTCTTTCACAGCCTCTTTCACCGGACAGCCTCAGGATTGACACACTTTCGGGTTCCTGGCTCCTCCCAAATGACGGCCTTGCCAGGGTCCAGCCGGACCTGCTAGAAGGGCCAAAGCATAGATGATCGAATTGGCGCAGGCTAGAAAGCAAGGACGAGCGGGTATTGCGACACCCTTCTAGCAACGCTTGCCCCGAGATGTAAGACCGTATACCCAGAACTCGTTCCTGAGTGCCGAGCTTGATTGGGATCGATGTGTATCTGCTTCTGGAGAAGGTGCCGCGCCGTCACAAACTGTGCAAACAAGCGGTGCGATGAAAAGAGGATGCAATCCTGTCTGGCAATGACATACAATGCCCAAAACCTGAGTTGACAGCTTGGCTCTCATCTGGCCGACCCTTTGTGCCAGGGAGGCGATTCAGCGAGTGCTTGGCCCCATCTGGTGTGACCTGTGAAAGGCACAAGTGGCGTGACTGGCTTCCCAACATTCGATGTGGCTGTGGTGCCGGGGAAAAGACGTATGCAACCTGCACCAGGACCTTGTCAGACGGGCTCACCTCAGCATGTCATGGACTCAAACCGTGCCAGACTACAACACAATTTCGGAGGTGTCGGCAGTTCGGAACACGGCTGCATAATCCTTTCTCGCCACACTACACCAGGCAACATTCACCGTCTCGGGGCGGAGCAACTACCAAGTGGACCTGGTCGACAACCCTGACAACCTGCGGGCCGGGAAAAGGCCAGGCAAGACTGTAAAGAGACAAGCAATTTGGAGAAGCCCCACCTTTCCCGAAGAATCGATCAGCAACGAAGACCTTGTTTGCTGTAGCTCCTACATTAGGCTCAGCCGCTCGGCAAAGTCTATCAACTGTCTAACGATCACTTCAAGGCTTCAAGGTCCAGGCTGGCCAGAAGTCAGTTCACGGGAAAGCTCCTTCAACGACCTCTGCCAATGCGGTGCGGTCAATACAACCTCTACAACCCCGCAAGAGTTGCGACAACAGCTGCCGAGCTTCAGGCTTGGCACAACCTGTCCCGAAACCTGGATGGCCGGAGATCTCGAGATCAAACAAGTAATGCTAGCGCAGGTTAGTTAACCCGCCTCATTCACTTGGGAAACTAAAGGTTTCACGCCGACGGTAAGGCCGAAGCTCTCCGTGTCGATGCTATGGCTGCCCAGGTATGCAACTAAGTCCTGGAGATTATATGCAGACATGCAGATATGCAGATGTGGAACTCAATCGCGGTGGGATTACAGTCCTCTTCGTTAAAGCCTACTGGAGGCATGACCAGACCACTGACCTGTGCTTTGGTGCATGCGTGCTAGGACGGCAATGTCCGCCTTGCAGAAGCGAAGCCTCTTCGCTGCCTTCTGCCATCAGCTTGACCTACAAACAAGACTTGGAAGTTCTTAGCTGGGACCGGCGGTCGAATGTGATGTGCCTTTTTTTTGTGAGCTTCAAGCTCCGTCATCCAGGCAAAAGACTTCAGGTTGCCCTTGTGATCCTGGAATTGCACAATCCGACTGCAGCCGCAGCTATTTGAAGCTTACTGGCTGGGGTGCTGTTTCAAGATGCGCTACCGAGGTTCGGCCATTCTGAAACCGGCGAGACCAGAACACCATCCCAACCACAGCTGTTGCTTTCCCACATCTACTGAAGAGCTTGCCCAGTGCTTTGAGGCAGCAGCTCCTGTTTGACATACCGACGCTTCACAACAAGGCTTACCCTACGAGTGGCTTTTGGCAGTTTTGGTTCTCTGCATGTACATGTCACTTCGACCGGACATAGCCAGCGAAAGGCTGTATACTGTATTGCTACATCTTTTCTTTGCCACCGATATTCAGATCAGCAGCTGGATGATGCAAGATTTTGTGACAGCAGAACTTTCCTACTTGTAAGTACGACTTGTACTCTGTGATAAGGCGAAATCATGGTGTAGAAGCTCCGTTGCACAAACCGAGACTGTGTCATTGTGGAATCCGCAGACACATGCACTGCGCTGACGAGCCTTGTTGGCGCGTGCTCGAATGAATGAATCAATGAATGACTGACTGAATGAATGCACGAATGAATGACTGAGTAGTGAATGAACGATTGAACGAGTGAGTGAGTGAATGAATAATTGAATAAATGAATGAATGAGCGCTTGAATGTGCGAACATCCGTGCAGTGCATGGATGTCACTAGGATCACTAGGACTAGGAAACCAGAGGCTCAACCACATGGTGAGGGACGTATAGAGAGGATGAGTCAACTGCTTTCTGGCATGGTCAATTTTCGGCAGTATGGCGCAGATCATGCAGGCTGCAAGAAGCCACTGCGAAGGGTTGCTTCGCAACAAGTTGCAGCAGCTTGAATGGTAGGGGCGGCAAGGGCGTGACGTGTGACCTGTACAACGTGTACACCAGCGCCCACGGCTGCCGACATGCAAATCAAGAGGCCCGTCTTGCTCTGAAGAGAGGCCAAGCCAAGTGCTGGAACATGTGTGTTGATTAAGCACAAAATCAAGTTCACGACAATGCACATAACTCCTAGCAAAACCATGACACTTGCCAAAGGCAAACACAAGTTCCAGCTACCGGCTGCCATTATCATTGCATTATCAAACTATCCGGCAGGAGGGTTTCAGCTGTCCTATAGCTGAACTAGCATGGAACATAGAACATTACTACAACTCATGCAACTCAGATCATGCCTGGGACCACATTCCCGCCTAGACTCGGGCCTCGACGTGAAGCATGAAGCATGAGACAGCTTTGAGACTAGCCTCCCACACCTTGTTCGAGATTGCGAGCCTCTTTCCCGAGGTGCTTAGTGAGCTTTACGAGCTAAACCTTGACTCAAAGCAAGTAATCACTAGTAGAACAAATTAAGCTAAACACATAGCAGCGAATTGTGAAAATTACGCAGAATGATGTGGTAGCAGTCTAAGTTTCAACTTTTTCGCTTAGATGCACCTTTTTGTCCACTTAGACGTGGCTTTTTCGCCCTACCCCACCTACCCTGCCTACCGGATCCTACCCCATCTACACTATCGTAGTGGCCCACTACCCACAGGACGAAAACCCTAGGGAGTGAATCCAGCGAGAACCTTTTTCCCAACACGAAAACCCTAGGGAATCCAACGAGAACCCTTTACCCAAGAGGAATGAACTACCCAAGACGAAAACCCAAAGGAGTGAATCCAGCAGGAACATCTTCACGAAGACGAAAACCCCAGGGAGTGATATCCAGCGCGAACCATTTTTACCCAAGACGAAAACACTAAACGAACCTTGTGTGACGGCTCTGGTTTTGTGCTAAACACATCACAAAGATTTGGTTTTATGCTAAATACACCAGAAAAAGTCAATACACCAGAAAAATGTTAGTGGCTTGTTGCTAAAACCGCCAAAAAAAGCCATAAGTAAGTAAGATATCTGTGTTTGCAACCCTCTCCAGAGACTTGCTGTTTTGGGATCCGAAAACGTTAGAACTCAGTCATTATGCTGAAAATACTGGAAAGTTGCTTCCAAGAGAAAAAGTCACAACTGAGTGTTCTACCGAATGATGTGGTCTGGTTTTACAAACAGACCGAGTTCCTGATAAATCAGGATGTTGCGCTTTGCATTGTCTTGCGAAGGTTTCCTTCGACCCTCCGAACCGCTCTGCCCTTCCGTCTGCCCTTCAGGCAGCTTCATGGCACCGCTGCCTCGCTTCAAGGAGAAAAAACTACACAGCGCCCGCCATCCCCTGCCAAGCACGGTAGAGTTGCGCCTTGGCGCGAGCGCCCGCGCCGGCACGGCTGTTCCATTCTAGCGGTCCCGAGTCTCCTTCCACGGCACTGAATCCGTCGAAGGGTCTTGAACCCACAGCTATGTCAGTCCTTGACGGTTATTGCTCCTGCCATCGACAAAGGAGCCCTCTTTCGATACTTCTTCCTCAGGGTCACAGCTGTCACGCCATTGATGAAGGAGGAGCCACAAGCATTGCAATGCCCGAAGCAGCTGGCATACCGTACCTATGTTATGAGCAGGCAACAGGCTGAGGAGCATCAAAGTGGTGCCTGAGCCCGCCACACATCCACAGGCCGCTGGGGCGAGCAGCTCCGTCTTGTTTCCTGAGCACAAGCACCTTCAACCACTCAACACCTAGAGTCCTGGCTTGTTCACAGTTGCTTTCCGGATCCAGGCACAAAAATTCAAGATCCCAGAGACCTCTTCTCATAATAATGCACGACTCAATCCAACATGGGATTCATGGGATGTCCTATTGCAGGGTTTCGCTCACTGCTGCAGCTGCAACAGGAGGTGGACCCTACACACACCTCGTAACAGTTTACACTAATGTGCTGCATGGATCGACCATGAAGCCCTCCACCGTCGGCAGAGAATGATGCCTTGATGAAACAGCTTGACCGTCCAAGGCCCTTACCAGGTCTCCCGAGTAGCCATGGCTGCCGATAGAATGGTCTCAGCAGTCAAGGCACGAATATCAGATAATATCAGGCTCTGGTCACTGCCTCATGCAATAACCAGCCTCTGCTCACTGCATCAAGGTCGTGATGGCTCGAAGCGCCTCTCGCGACTCAATGTCTGCTGTCGGTGGGTCTCTCTAAGTGATTTCAGCCGTCACATGTGATTTGCACGGTCACGAACTTCTCTCCGGCCTAGGCTCGGCCCACGGCTAAGCGCGTCCCCGGAAAATGGCGCGAACTGCTTACCTGCATGGGCCGCGGAGTTCAAGGAGTTCGCAGGTTCCATGGCCAGCGCTAGCCGTCGCTAAGGCGGCGTTGAACATTGCTGATCTCCATCAAGCATTAGTACTTGGACCCTCCCTGAGCCGTCTCTTCCTCGCCTTCCATGCTGTGGCTTGGGCGGAGGGCATCGACCTGCGGCTCCAGCAGCACACACGAGGAGCCACTAGAGCAGTCTGTTCTGGCCTCGAGCCGGTCCAAGATATCCATGTCCGCAGAAGGCGGTTTTGCATGCCTCCCGGCCATATAGGCTTGCAAGACTTCGGAAAGTTGCTTACCTAGACCCGGCGGACGCGAGCAGCCTGTGCAATGTGCCATGCTTCGTGCTGCACTGCGCAGACACATGTCAGCTTCTCTCCGCTTCCAGCATGCCAGAGAAAAGCTTGACCACAAGAAGACTCTCACACCTATTTGGATGCGGTGCTGATCAAGAACTATTGCAAGCGATCTCGCGTGGCATGAAAAGCGCAGCAAGCAAGACAAGCAAGCAAGCGACATTCAACGTTCACTTGCTGATGTGTGCTTGATTCGTAAGAGTTGCGACATGTGTGCTTCATTCCTCAGAGTTCTGACATGCGCCTTCCCATGGTTCCAGTGTTGCTTCTTGAGTGAGACTGAAAAGCTTGACAAAAAACACAAGGGATGCGAGGACATCTCTCTGCCTTGAAGTGCTCCTCGCCTTTCCATCTGGTCGTTCAGACCTGGTCCAATTTCTTCGTTGTTGTGCTGGCAAGCTCAGGGCTTCACCGAGTCGTCACTGGATTTGGACTCAGACCGGCCATCCGTCCGTTGACCCGGTCGCGACCTGGCAGACGCCGCGCAACAAGGAGTCACAGACGTGAGGGTCTGGGAACCCCAATGCACCACAAAGCAACTGAAATCGGAGGCAAAGACATGGTTGAACAATGCTGAACACCTGCTTCGCTGCTTTGGCTTTTCGTCTGGCGCATGGCTGGAGACCTGCACAGAAGGTCATCAGCTGCACTCCGAGAGGCGGCAAGTGTGGAGACTGTCACTTGGCACACATTCTGACTAGAAATCACTGGGAGACCAGTTGCGGCTAACAGGGTCGGCCTCGGAGTGTCGATCCTCTGCATCACCTGCTGTGTATTCCCGACACTCTCCATTGCAGGTGGTGCGAGAATGATGACACGGTATGGATCAGAAACTTTCGGAAGCATGCGATGCCCGGTAGAGTGCAGCCATGCAGCTGTCCATGAGCTTTCCTGAACAGCAATGAGCATGGGGCCGGGGCCACACAACGAGCTGCACTAACATCCCTGCGTGCTTCCCCAACGGTGACCCCAGCGCCCCCTAAGGCATGGACGGCGGCGCGATGAAGCGCGAGACTTTGCAGGTCTGGGCAATGCAAAGCTTGAGTCAAATCAACAGATCTTGCCGTGCCGGTCCTGCAATACTGGCAAACATGCCATGACTTTAGTGCTACACGTCAAAGGCGCAAATTTCACGACCCGACCAGCCTGCTGCTTGTGCTAGCCTGTCACACAAACTTCTGGGGAGGATAGATAGTAATGCTCTATGTCGCCGACTGCCGACCATCGAAAAGGCTGAGCCTGCTCCAACGTCGCTCTCCAGGCCGCATGCACACGCTCCTGGACTTGCTTGACCCAAGAATGGAAGGCATTGACGGATGGAGGAGAGGGGGGAGGGAGGGACGGACGGGGGAGGCAGGCAGGGAGGGATCGAGGGCTAGACCCGGAGAGAGAAAGGGAGCTCACCTGCACAGGCTACATCTGCACAGACACAGG